TATTCCTGACAGGACTAACGTGCTTCTAGTACGTTCTGAGTTATGGCACCTCTTTCATTTCTCAGCTCAAAGACCTGCTTTTCGTGGTACATCTACATTGCAGAAAAGTAATTGCGCTTCACAATTATTGCTCTTAAGGGTTTTTTATGGGATGTGTCGATAATGAGGTTGAATATACATCTAAAGCCCCACCATGTTTGAAAGTTGCTCAGTTTATCACAGAATCTTCATGGTTGGGAGGGACCTTTGAGATCACTGAGTCCAACCATACACAAAAAAAACCCAACCCAACAATCTCGGGCACTAGAGCATGCCCTGAAGTGCCACGTCTACACATTTCTTAAATACCTCAAGGGATGGTGACTTTGATGAACCTCTAATGTACTTGGTGAGATCACCTTATTCTTATGTGCAAGGTGGATTCTTAAACTGTTACAGCCCATGTAGAGCACTTCTGTACCATGGGCTGGATTCTTCCAGAGCAGAGGAGCCAGCCACTGGGCTTCCTTTCACCTCACTTGTTCATCCTCCCTCTCTTTTGGCGCAGCGCAGAATCTCCTACATAAAGCTGGTGAATAATAAAGTCAAACCCCAGTAATTAACAGGTTGTTCCTTTCTTGCAGGGCGAAGACAGCACTCCAGCAGTATCTTGCATGATCAAAGACTAATTGAATCTATGGACACCCCTCATGTCTACTTAAGGAAGAGCAGGAGATGTTCCTGACTCCTTATATTTGCACAAGTCACCTTGGGCTGCATTTTTCTCAGGTGCAGGGAGCTGCTTTGCAGAAACAGTTCAAATGATCAGGTCTCCAGTGCACTTGAGAATTTTCTTGAGGTAGTTTCTTTACTCAGAGGACTCTTGGGGGGTTGTTTTGGCTTTCTGGTTTTGGTTTTGTTTTTTTTTTTTTTTTTTTCCTGAGCTACCTGGACTTTCGGATAGAACAATCAGTCATCATTTTCCTTTTGGGCCTCCAATTTTCTGCTTTTTGCTGCAGCCTGTGTGTGTGGATGCGTGTGCTCGAGTGGGTGGGTGTGCTTGGGTGAATGCGTGTGGGTGTGAGACCTCAATTTTGTTTTTTCCTTTTTTTTTTTGTGTGAAAATCTTTTTCTACAGGTTTTCAAGGGTTAACCATTGTTTGCTGTACGAATACTTCAATGAATTATATACAGTTTGAATGAAATGTTATTTAAAAAAAAAAACCAAACTGTTGTATCCCATAAAGTTTATTTTGAATTTTGAACAGATGAATGTTTTTAAGTAAAATATATGCATTTCTGAACTTCAGCTTAACTTACATTATACTTCCTTTTTAAAGAGAAAAATAGAGGGAGACAGTAGACCCCAAATATTAAGCAGCGCATTCTGTACTGACAAGGTCCAAGGGTTTTTCACTGCCATGCGAGGTCACCTGGTACTGATGACACCCTCAAAGCCATGGAATGGGTCGACTGGATGGCTTTTGGGGGTTTCTTTACGTTCTTGGAAGAAAAGCTCATACTTCAGAGCTCGTGTGACTGATGACTCTTCTGGAAGGGAACAGGCGGCTGCAATATCACAGGCATAAGCTATTGCTTTAGTAGCCAAGAACTTGCTCAGATAATTGCTGAAGGATTAGCTTATTTCACCGGTGATAAGTATTTGCTGATCACGAATATCGATAGAGCAAAGAGTACGTTGCAGAAGTTACACTTTCAAGAAACCAGAAGGAGCTGGCGAGCAGTGACTTAAAGGACTGCTTTTGTTTTGCATCCTTTACCTCCAGATATAGTTAAGTGACTTACAAATTATGTCCACGAGAGATCAGCTGGGTGTGCATTAAGTCGGGGAAGGAATGGAAAAATTGGGATTTTGGGGTTTTTTTTTTAGCTCAGCAATATTGCTACGGATTGTGTGTGTATATGCAGGTATACACACGTGCATGAATTTGGATACCTGGATAATAAGCGATGGGATTTTACCACGTTCAGAAGCCTAGATTGGCAATATGTTCCTGAAATTGTGCCTGTAAGCGTGGAGGAAAAAAAAATCCAAGTATATATGAAGATGCCTGTGTAAGGTTAGGCTGGAATATGAGACCCCAGTGGCTTCACAGTCAAATATGCACAGAAACAAATGAGGGCAGCAAGGAGCTCTCCTTCATGCAGTTCAGGGTTCTTGCTTTCTTCCTGTGTCTACTTTCTGATTCCAGTATAGACCGCAGTTTCCATAGTCAGGATCTCCAGACACTATATTTACATAGCACTAACAGGCACACTAAAGACGGCAGCCGATGTCTTAAACCAAATCTTTCTTTTATTCCACTGAACTTCAGGAAGGCTGCAGCAGGAAGAGAGGTCTGTAACTTTGCTAACCAATTTTGATAAGTCTCTTAATCTTTTCTTTCTAATCAGAAGGTCAGATTGTGATAGCCTTACTTTTTTTCCAAGGTAACTACTGGTGTCAGAAAATGTGACCACAGTTTGGCCTGGAATTTGAATGTGCTATGTATCAGCTAACTGTTATCACTTGGTTGCAAAGGAGAATATATACCTTTCATGTAACTTCTTCCACCCTTGAAAGACAAATAAAAGCGAGCACCTGACACTTTTTCCCCGGGCATTGCAGTAAGTGACTGGCAGTTTTTTAATGTCCTTCTGCAAATTTTTCATGATGGACTTTTGGGGGGGGAGGGGCTTGAACAAAAGGGAAAGTAAAAATATGTGAGAACTTGATAAATAGCAGTACCTCAGAAGCAAAGTCTTATTTCTAAAATTCAATCCAATATATTTTGGCTTGAAAGTTCTGAGGCAGGTATTGTAAATGCAAACCTGTACTTCTAAATTTGCACTCCCACTTTGTACCTTTAGGAGATCAAGTTCTTACATATCTCTTCTCATCCTCCCCCGATTCACCTTTCTAAAAGCAAAACATGAGTTTGATTCCATAAAACTTCCGTGCCTAAAGGTGTTCAGAAAAAAGGTGAGTAAGTCTCTGTGTTCTTCAAATCCTACCAGAAAAAACTAAATGCTCAGACAATCTTGTTGCCGCCATGAGAACAGTTGACGTTTTCCACAGGTATTGATAGGACAAACTGTTGGATGAGAACATTTTTTTTACACTCAGTTAAGCTTTGTGAATAATTTTTGATGTTGCTATAGGTCTGTACAAAAAGAAGAATACTGTAAATAAAAAGAACTTTACCAGAACATCTAGGTTTTTTTTCTCAGCTTCCTGGAGAAATCTCAGCTTTCCCTGCCAGCTTCTCTGCAGACCGACGGCCGCTGGCCTGAGCCTCCCAGCAGGAACAAACCCCTTCTCTGGTCGGCCGGATCGTTACCAACTTTATTTAGGGAGCAGCATCTTGAAAATTACAGGGTTGTTTGCAGAACCAAAGCAAGTAAGAGTTTATCTGGATATAATAAGAACCACTAGGATTTCTGTTGTTCTTGTGCCATTTCTCCTCATCAAAACCCATTAGGATTGGGTTTTCAAAGTTTGTCCACCCTTTATATCTGGGTGGAGGGATGGTAGTCCTTCTACCAAAGGTTCCATGTGTCAAAAACTGAATAGTTCTGCCTGGAGTCTGGCATGCTCAGGGTCCCCACCACCACCTCCAGCCCACCTTTGGAGTAGTCTCTCCCATACAAAGTCAAAAGAGACTTAGAATTTGGAGGCTGCTCCCATCACAGGTTTGTGTTGTAGTAGTGGAGGAAGCCAAGTGACCTGCTCAAAAGCATCTTCGTGTCAGTATATTCTTAAGGCAAACTTTTCACATGTTTTAAAATGTATTTTTACAGACTCCAGCTGTGGCAGTAGATGCTGACCCTCCATGGAGGTGCTGAGGCAGTGGCACAGCAGGCAGGAGAATAACTGAAGTGCATGAGATTAGATCCTTGAAGATGAGAAAATGGGTTTAGTATCAGTGTCTTCGGTAATCCTAAAATGTAAGCACACGATAGGTGTAAACATGGCTGTGGTGCCCTATCCCTGGAGGGGTTCAAGGCCAGGCTGGATGGGGCTTGGAGCAACCTGGTCTGGTGGGAGGTGTCCCTGCCCAGGGCAGGGGGGTTGGAACTTTGGAATTTGATGATCTTTAAGGTCCCTTCTACCTCTAACCATTCTATGATTCTATGCACCATTTCAGCGGTGGTTAAAATCACCAGGACTTTACTGGAGGCTTATTTCTACAGAAAGAGAGAGTTGCTGAGGACACCCAAGGGTGCAGTTTGTTCTGCTGAGCTGGTACTGGAGACAGGGAAGCTCCTACCCAGGCTCTGCCCTGCCATGTCCCCTGGAGGGCACTGGACAGTGTCCCCTTGGGTTGCCAGGGGTGGACATGCCAAAAGCCAAATCCTCAACCAGGAGGGGAGCTCGACCAGCTGGAGGGACCAGGCCACCAGGCATCATCGTGTGCTGCATGAGGAGAAGCAGCACCACTGAGGTCTGCAGCTGGAGCCCCAGGTGTGGGAAGGGATGGGGTGAGCAGCAGCTCTGCCTGAACAGGCATCACCCAGAGGGGTGCAGAGCACAGGGGATAAAAAACAAGATAAAAAACCCCAAACTTCAAAAATTGAGCTGTGTTAGGAGTGGTACCAGCAGCTTATCCCCTCGGCTCGGTGCTGGGGACGTCATGTCTGGGTCCTGTGTCGGAAAACCGGAGCTAGGGAGTGTGCGGTGGGCTGGGGTGGGGGGAGAAGGGGAGTTGGGCAGGTTTGGCAGGAAAAGAGGAAGCAAAGGGGGCTCCAGAGGGGAAAACTGGAGGAGACGGAGCTGAGCTTCCTGGCTACAGCGGCCATGGAGAAGGGAGCGGGGCGGGCTGGGCTGCTGCTCCACCCCGGCGTCCCCAGCGCTGCCATAGCAGCCTTGGGAGGCTGCCAGCCACCACGCAGGTACCACAGACCCTTCTGCCACCCTCACGGGGCAAAGGGGGACAGGTTTTGGGCACTGCTGAGCTAATCTGGCTCCCTCCAAGAGTGTTGTGACCTGGATGGAGGAGCAAAGACGGGTAAAAAGCTTTCTTTGTGGTGCAGGTTGGCCAGCAGCGGGATTCACATCCTTGGAGGACATCTGCAGCGCTTTGACCGCTGCTCCAAGGACCCTTGTTGTTGCAGAAGGATGGCTGCAAAGAAAAAGGAGGTGGTGCTGCAGGTCAGTAGCAGCCAGGCTTTTAAAGTACCTTTTAAACCCATAGAAAGTGGAAAGGATGAAGTTCAGCCTTGAAGGTATCTGAGATTCTGCTGGCAAAGCCCTGCTGTGAGGTCCTGGGGGTGGAAAAGTGTTCCTGAGGGCAGGTAGGAAGGCTGGGGAGGGAAATCTCTCCCCTGAAGTCAGCGCTGGGGGCTGCAGAGGGAGGTTGCCACGGGGCAGGAGGTTGCCATGGGGCTGCAGGTTGTGATTCCGAGCTGGTCCGAGCTGGCACGGGTTTGGCTGCTTTCAGACATCAAAATGGATCTGTGTCCCGTGGGACAGTCGTTCAGAGGACACCTAAAAGTAGGGAACCAGGGAAGGGGAGGGGTTTCTCCTGCATTGCAAGTGCCACTGAACGTTTCTGACCACATATTTAGAAAGATTGCTGTAAAGGTGGAAAAGATAGGAGACGACAAAAATTCAAAGGCTGAAAAACCTGTTTTACAAGAATGGATTGTTTCCCCTTTTTATATTTTTAGGTAATTTATATTTAGGTAATTTATATTATTTTTAGGTAATTTATAGGATTTTTTCCCTATTTATACTGTGCAAGTGACTTACTGATGCTTTATAACTACCTGCAGAGGGGAGAGAGGGTTTCTGAGAGCAGCTTAGCCTACAAAAACTTTGAAAAACCCAAAAAAGGTTATGAAGATCTTCAAATTTTGAAACCGTTTCAGTCTTCACAAGAGAGATTATGGGCTCCTTCACTTAGGGGCTCTATAACCTTGTTTATTCAACTGTTAAAATGGGAAAGCATGGAATGAAAATGTGAACGTTTGTATAAGAACGTTTTTATAAGAGGAAGAGGATCACCTTATGAAGGTAAAAATGGTTTCTGTTGCTGCTTCCCCAACTCCTCCTCTGCGAAAATTACATCAACCAGACTTGGCACCATTGGCAACTAAGGAAAAACTGGGTCTAGATCTGCAAAAAATGTGATTGTTCCCATCTGCAGATGAAAGCTGAACCTCATCCAGGACATGATGTGATCTCCTGGAGAACTTCTGGTTATATTAGAGAAAAGCCAAGTCCTAGCAGCCTCGGGGCATCCAAATTAGCAAAGCACTTTGAAGGGTGCCCAGCATGGCTTTCGGAGTCCCTCAGCTGAACTCGCTGCTGAACTCATTATCACAAATTATTATCCTAAATCCTTTGAACTTGTTCTGTGAAACATTCTGAGGGTGGTCCTAGCACTAGTGATAGCTGGAATAATTAAACTTCTTAATTCTGCAGGTGCTCTCTGAAAGAATTGGGCTTGGGGTCATGCGCTGAACAGGAGAACAGATGGGGGTGTTTGAACAACTCCCCCTTCTCTGAGTGAGGCAGGGTCCTGGAGAAACTACTGTGTGATCTCTGGTGACACCTCTGAACACCTGCAAGAGGCCACTTCATTTGTGCTGGAGTTTCTGCTCTTGGAATCCCTGACTTTTATCAGTTCTTTAATCAACATTGGTGTTAATTATTGTAACATAGCTGGCATTATTACGACTTACTGTCTGCCAGTGCAAACTACATGTAGTTAAGATTAATGATACCAGCTGAGAAAGCTATTAGGAATCTTCATTGTTCAGGATGAACAAAACCAGATCTTATGTTTCTCAAGAAGTCTTTTTTTTTTTTTTTTTTTTTTTTTTAAACTGGCTGTATTTTTCTAAGCACATACTGAGGGGCAAGTCCTGTAAGACGGGGAAGATGCTAAAGATGTTTTCCTTTTTAATAAGGGTATTGGAACTGTGGGATAATACAGCATGTGGCACAATGTATGGAATTGTCTAGGGCATCCTTGGCTGGGTAAGTCCCTGAGCAGCCTGATCTAACGCTGAGCCTTGAGCAGGGGATTAGACTTAAGGACCCCACAGATCCCTTCCAACCTAGATCTTTCTGTGCTCTCTGTTCTTCACCATGCTTTGGAAGTCCTTAGATAGCAGCTGGTAATTCAGATAAGGACATGCTGGGCTCAGACCACCCTCTAGTGCCCAGACATCACAAACGCTGTGTATTTACTGGTTTATTTTATCAAGACAGCAACGTTTTCAGGGGGTATAGGTTGTGTGCAGGCTAGGTGAGAAATTGCCAGCGGAGAATCATAAACTGGATGAGGACTGGGTCTGAAATAGGTGTGAGGAGAAGAGGATGTGTGGTGGAGAGGAGCACGTTGAAGCAGTTCTCTGAACGCTACAGGTCAGCCCAGGCCAACACCGCACTGGTGGGTTTGAGCACCCTGCTGGTTCTGATGGAAGGTCCCTGTTGAGCTGGGACCTCACAGGTGTCAATGTGTGTGTGACTCTCCTCCAAGTCCCTGTGGCTTGTGCTGGGATCCAGGCAGCCTGCAGAGAACCAGTCCAGCCACTTACAGGCCAGTGGCTCTTAAATGTTTTAGCTGCAGGCCTGTGGTAACGCATCATTACGTATCCGACTTCCATTCAAGTGAAAGCAAAGTAGCCCTTTGTGTTTATTCTGTAGCAGGAGTGCTGTGGTGCTCAGGGTCACAGAATCACAGAGTGATAGAGGGTTGGAAGGGACCTCTGGAGATCATCTAGTCCAAACCCCCTGCCAGAGCAGGGCCACCCAGAGCAAGTCCCACAGGAACGTGTCCAGGCGGATTTGAATGTCTCCAGAGAAGGATATTCCACCAGCTCCCTGGGCAGCCTCTGCCAGGGCTCTGCCACCCTCACAGGAAAGAAGTTCCTCCTCATGTTTAGGTGGAACTTCCTCTGTTCACATTTGTGCCCATTTCCTCTTGTCCTGTCCCTGGGCACCACTGAAAAAAGACTGGCCCCATCCTCCTGACACCCACCCTTGAAGTATTTATAGGTGTTGATCAGATCCCCTTCAGTCTTCCCTTCTCCAGACTAAACAGACCCAAGTCCCTCAGCCTTTCCTCCTAAAAGAGATGCTCCAGGCCCCTCATCATCTCTGTAGCCTCTGCTGTCCCCTCTCCAGCAGTTCCCTGTCCTTCTGCAACTGGGGAGCCCAGAACTGGACCCAGTGCTCCAGATGGGGCCTCCCCAGGGCAGAGCAGAGGGGCAGGATGACCTCCCTCCACCTGCTGCTCACACTCTTCCTGATGCCCCCCAGGATGCCATTGGCCTTCTTGGCCACAAGGGCCCATTGCTGGCTCACAGCCATCCTGTTGTCCACCAAGACTCCTGGGTCTTTCTCCTCAGAGCTTCTCTCCAGCAGGTCAGCCCCAACCTGTCCTGGTTCAGGGGGTTATTCCTCCCTGCCACTCTTCCTGGTACTAACACATCTGCAGGGCTCCATGCTAAGCCAAGGCACAGGAGGAATATCTGGAACAAGTGGCCAGACTTGTTCAAGTAGTTGCTGCCAGTCAACAGAGGAGGGCTTGCTCTTGGTGGGGTGCTGTTACCCTTTCCATCTGCCTTTCCTTGGTTCTTGTGAGACAACATGAGTTTCTAACCCAGTAAGGTTTTCTGCAGAGCTACCTGGCTTGCTGATGGGGCTCAGAGCTGGCGTCAGGGAGGAGCAGGAGCATGTGGGAAGCAGGGAAGGAATGAGAGTTTGTGAGTGAGGATACCTGACTGATCAAGGGAATGGAGCATCTCTCTGGTGAGGAAAGGCTGAGAGATCTGGGTTTATTCAGCCTGGAGAAGAGAAGACTCAGAGGGGATCTCATCAATGTTGAGCAATATCTAACGGGTGGAGGATGGAGTTAAGCTCTTCTCAGTGGTGCCCAGTGAGAGGACAAGGGGTAATGGGCACAAGCTGGAACACAGGAAAATCCATCTGAACATGCAGAAAAACTTCTTTCCTGTGAGGGTGGCAGAGCCCTGGCAGAGGCTGCCCAGAGAGGTGGTGGAGTCTCCTTCTCTGGAGACATTCCAACCCACCTGGACACGTTCCTGTGGGACCTGCTCTGGCAGGGGGTTGGACTGGATGATCTCTAGAGGTCCCTTCCAACCCCATATCATGCTGTGATTCTGATTCTGTGACTGCAGCTGGTTTTTCTGAGGTCTTCCACCCATGTTCTGGCACAGCTTGGCCCTGCCCAGCTGGTCGGAGGACGGCAGGCAGGTGTGTCCACCTTACGTGCAAGCACAAAGTGATTTGTCAGTATGTTTGCACCAGCTGAGTAGCACCTGATGACTTACTGCTGCTTTTACCATCTTTTTATTGTACCAGCCGAGTAGCACCTGATGAATTACTGTTGCTTTTACCATGTTTTTAAATTTTCACGCAGATTAACATCAATAGCCAGGAGCTTTGGGAAGAAATGCTGTGCCTCAAAGGACTCATTGGTAAGCGTTTGGTTGACATACTGGGTTGCTCTTGTTCTGTGTTAAAAGGACACCAGTACTGTTAGGGACTAATTACTGCTGATACGGTTGTTCAGTTGGTCCCTCCATTCCTCTTGCCCTGAATGGAAGAAAGAAATAGGCTAAGAGAGGTGAGACTAGCTGGAGGTTGTAGTCCACCATCCCTGGAGGTATGTAAAAGATGGGTTGCCATAGTGATTAGTGACATTGTTTAGTGATGGGTTTTTATCGGGCTTAGGTTGATGGTTGGACTAGATGATCTGCAAGGTCCCTTCCAACCTAGACAATTCTACAATTTTATGATGAATTTCCATGCAATCAAAGCAGTGCTGGTGCAGCAGCTTCTGGAGTCTCCAGTCCAGCCCTACCTGCCTGGAGCAGGACTGTCCCCGGTGCACGGAATAGCCCTGGTTCCCACAGCTGGAGGTTAGAGGGTGGTTAGGTCAGCCTCATGTGCTCTACCTCTGCACAGCAGTTTTCCCTAGAAAATCTAGAACCTCCAAGGTCACAGCCATGTCAGTGTTTCTTCTAAAGACTCCTCCGTAACACTGTTATGAGCTTGTCATTTTATAATGTGATCTCAGCCTCCTTGAAACACTTGAAATATGATAGTTTCTACTTCAGAACTGAACCCATAGCCCTTCTAGGGCTTCAGCAGGAGTCCTGCTGTGCT